AWMTTTWAWTWWRKAAAAWTTRSYAAAAGTATGAAGGTCAGCTATTCCTACAACAAATGARTAAGACACTAAAATAGTATCAAGTTTTGAAAATTGACTAAATCACTAACCAAAATTTGCAATACAGGCTTTTGTGGATGTTCTTCGGCGGGTTTGGTGATTATATCCTGCAAGAAATATACAACGTCGTCATTCAACATGGCGGGAAAATAGAGCACGAATCCAAGAAAATAYKCCAAATTTACACTTAATTCGTAACAGACAAGGTTTGAATCGTCCTTGGACTTACATGGATAGCTCCTTCAGATAGAGWTATGGCCATTATATCGCACAGGAATGACCTAAAAGATAGTAAAACCTCCAAAGAACAGAATTCTTCCTTTCGCGCCAAAAACTGTATAAATGTTCTTCAAACAGAGCATGTCCGACCAAATAGCATCAGCTGATATGAAGTATCGCGGGCGAMGCTTTTTAAAATACCTAGTTCTAGTCTCCCTCGATSTTATAATCCGAYTCAAGACAAAGAGCCTGGGTTTTCACATATTCAAAATGGCGACCATCCAAAGATTGGCAAAACAAGCTTTTATAACATTTAGAACGAAGGAGTCACCAACATTCGCTTCGAATCTCGAAAAACTAAAAAATCTGGTAAGAATAACAAATTATACCGCTTGTTTATGACTTCCTTAAGGTCATTAGAAGACACTTTTGAGTGATTATCTAGTTTGCGTGCACCAACTCACGCAGTACRCCTCGAGATGAAAACGTGACGTCGTTATGGCTTTCGGRGGTTTTTCTGTTTTACTTCACTGATTTGTTATTAATTGTGACCTTTATACCTCCTCCTGACCTCTTACTGATTCTGAGTTGGAATTTGTATCGAGTAAATGACGTTTTGAACGATCAGGATCTCARAAAAGTATCAAGCTGAAATAAATGGCGTCTATAAATAGACCATACGTCGTCCATGTGTTATATGTCAGTTTCCGAAACTTTTTACTATTCCGTGGATTGTTTTATGTACAAACATATACAACAAACTTAATTTATTTCTATTGTTTTTCACCATTGGTCAACCATAACATTTGTTAGTTCATAATAATTCGATTTACGATAGCTTATAAAATTAAAATACTGAGATGATGTCTTCCATGATCTAGTTGTCTTAATTCCTTGGTGAGGTTATTTTCAAATAAATTRATTTATTTATTTATATTTTTTTCACTGGAACAATGTTGACAGTCAATGGCATGCTGTGACATCAAGGGGTGATGAAATGAAACYTRACACARCACCTGATGAAGGCTACTGATACTAAAACCTGCCTGGTCCAACWTCATGATACCCCACTAMTACTATAGAATGAAGTTATAATAAACCTGGGAGACAAAATTTAACAAAAAATTAAACCATTTAAGTGTGACAGTCAAACAGACACATAGGAAAATAATGCAATTAGAGCATACTAAATCTAATAGTGT